AACATACATATGCCAGTAAGTGAACACTTCAATCTCCCTGGTCATTCTATTACAGATTTAAAAGTCACTATCATTGAACAAAAAAACTTCAGAAACAGACTTCAAAGAGAAACAGCAGAACTAAAATTCATTTGTAAATTTAACACCATTAATCTGGGCATGAATAGGGACTGGGAGTGGCTGGCTCATTACAGAAGCAGCTTTTCCTCTCCTGGAATTGACACCTCCTCATCCATTATTGGGAGTGGACTACATCCACCCTGATTGAATTGGCCCTGTCAACCCTGGTTCTCCACTTGCGAAGTAACTCCCTGCTCTCCATGTGTCAGTATATAGTGCCTGCATCTGTAACTTTCACTCTATCCATCCGAAGAAGTGAGGTTTTTACCTATGAAACCTTGTGCCCAAATAAATCTGTTAGTCTTTAAGGTGCCACCAGACTCCTTGTTGTTTTTACCTGTAATTAGGCTTAGACTTGAGTGTTTTTGCTTTAATTTGCTTGGTGACTTACTTTGTTCTGTGTGTTATTACTTGAAACCACTTAAATCCTACTTTTAATACTTAATAAAATCACATTTGTTTATTAGTAAACCCAGAGGAAGTGATTAATACCTGGGGAGCAAACAGCTGTGCATATCTCTCTATCAGTGTTATAGAGGGCAGATAATTTATGAGTTTACCCTGTATAAGCTTTATGCCAAGTAAAATGGATTTATTTGGGATTTGGATCCCATTGGGAACTGGGTGTCTGGGTGCTAGAGATAGGTGACCTACTGAGCAGTTTTTGGTTAACTTCTGCAGCTTAGGGGGCGTTGACCAGACCTGGGTCTGTGTTGCAGCAGGCTAGTGTGTCTGGCTCAACATGGCAGGGTTCTGAAGTCCCGGGCTGGCAGGGAAAACGGGCTCAGAGATAATTCCAGCACATCAGGTGCCAGCCCCAAGTGGGTCTCTGTGACCGAACCCGTCACAGTGGCATAGTCGAGCAGGATCTGTGCACAGCTGATTGCTTTGAGACACTGGTAGTGATTTTAAGTGAGTTTTGAGTGTCATGGTTGGAGAACAGACAAAGTGGTTACTGGTTTGTTATTTTCGGTTTGTTTATTTTGGGTGAGGGAAATAAGCACAAGAATGCAGGAAAATGACTTCCAGTGAGGCAGCTACAAAACTAGAGCTGGCCAGACTGGAAGTGGAAGAGAAGGCAAAGGACCATGAGTTTCAAATGTGGCAGGCACAAATGAGGCTCAAAGAAGCAGCTGCGGCCAGGGAAACGGTGGAGGCAGAAGTAGCCAGACAAAGGCACACCAACAAGCCCTGGACTTAAAAGACAAAGAGGTTGAAGCCCAGAGGTTAGCATGACAAGCTGCTCAGGAGGAGAAGGAAAGAGAGGCAGCTAGCCCTGGAGTTAAAAAACAAAGAAATTGAGGCCCAGATTGCGACCCAGAAGCAGGAACTGGCTGTAATGGAGTGGAAGAGACAAAACCCTTCAGCAGCTGGCTCCACTTTCCCAAAAATCCACAAATGGGAACAGTTATGTCCACCATATGATGAATCCAGTGATATTGCCGAGTATTTCATTACCTTTGAGAGACTGTGCACTCTCCATGTGATTCCAGAGGATCAAAAAATGGTTGCAAAATTGACTGGGAGAGCTCTGGACATATTCAATAAGATGCCTGTTGCTGATGTTTCAAACTATGGTAAATTTAAGGAACTGGTTTTGAAACCAGTTCCAGATTGCAGCTGAAACCTACAGGGTTAAATTCAGGAGTCTTAAGAGGGGATCTGGATTAAGTAATGTGGCCTATGTAAATGAAATGAGAAATTTGTTAGACAAGTGGGTGAAGGGAAAACACATTACAAGCTTTGAAGAAATGTGTGATTTGGTTACTCAGGAACAGTTCCTGAATATGTGCAGTGATGATGTAAAACAGTATTTGTGGGACAAAAAGATGGATGCAGTGGGTGAATTAGTGGGCTTGCAGACTCTTATGAGCAATCATAAGCTGCAATTAAACATAAACCACTGGCAGAGGGGTACAGGGTTGGTGGAAAGCAGAATCACCTTTTTACCCCTGGGAAAAAGGAGACTGGGCATTCACCTCCCCATTCCCCTGTTACTCATCCCAAGTCTCCTGTACAAACAGAGGAGCCCAGAAGGTGCTATCATTGGAAGTCCACTGAGCATCTAAGGAATAAATGTCCTTGGCTGAGTGGGAACAGGCAGTCTGAAGCCTGCCTGGATCCTGACTTTGTATCAGCAGAAATTATTTGTGGGTAGTTGCCAGGGAGGACATACAGACATCTCCTAGAGCCAGGATCTGCAAGGCCAATAAGGAACTATGAAAATTACCTTGGCTGTCTCTCTTATGTCTAATGTAGAAGCATTTTATCATCTTTTCCTGAAGCATGTGCAACTCTCTCTGACCTGCAGCTTCACTGACAACTGTGTCCAAAAGACCTGTCCCAAAAGCTCATTCAAATGTTGCTTGAAGTAGGCCAAACCTGAAAATAATGTCTGCATTCCAGAGGAGTCTCCTAACTATGTTGGAACAGAGGAGAGAAAACAGGCTGCAGCTAAATATATTTAGATACTCAAACAGAGAAAGAGATAGGACAAGCAGTTCTAGACGGTCTTTGTAAGATAATGTGACTAGGGTTACAAAGGAGAAGCTTGGATTGGGGTGACCATTATGGTAGGCATAGTTTGCACATCCAAAGGCACAGGGGCAGGGTGGACTCTCTTTGGCCAGTGTCTGGCCAGATGCCCCACAGTCCCTAATGTAGCTCAGCTCCATTGACTGTTGATCCATAGTCTCAAGCGACCATTGTCAAGCTGCGAAACTCAACTCTGTCAGTATGTGGATACCCTCAAGGGTGGAGCCTCTAATAGCTTGTTCACTTATGATTTAAGAACTGCCTCTTTTTCCACTGGTCACTGTTGACTCCAGGTTGGGGTGACGAATGGCTGTAGAGCTATTCTGTCAGAGGTAACAGTCACAGGCTTGCAGCAGTCAGCAATGCTGACTACAATCAACTTCTCCTCTCTGAGGTCTGGAGGTTCTGGGGGACGAGGTGAGGAAAAACTTCAACTGTCACAAACCTGTAAAGGTCTGTGGCCTTCCCTCAGAGCTCACAGGAGAAACATACAGAGAAGTGCTTCTGGAGAGACAGAGACAGGAAACTGAGCCTGAGACATATTTTCCCATGCTCATAAAGAGAGAGCAGAATCAATCCTCCAGACACGTGGATTTGTTGTGCATGAAAAAATATCAAAATATTCTTATTAATCACATCATATCCTTCTTTTAAATGCGACTTCAGATTCATTTCAAAATGGTCCATCTGGCATAGCAGAAAAATTGGAAATGGTTCAGAAATCTGTTGACAATAGGGATAAGGAAAATTTTTCTTATTGTTAAGTGTGTTTGTGTATGCGCGCACACTGGTTATCAATTACAAGAGTTCTGAACTCAGGGTCACCTACTTCACATTCTCTTACTCTTTTTTTTTTTTGCAAATGCCTTGAGAATTCTAAAGTTCTGAAATTTCACACTGCCAGACAAGCAAGAAAATGCATCTTATCACTAAATCCCTGCCTTAATTAAAAAAATCAACATTCATATTTTCAATCAGTTCTCCAAATAAGATTGTGAATTATTGTGAATTTTAGTTTTCTTTTTTTAAATATAAATTTTCAGGCTCTGCTACTAGACCAAAAGCCCACTACAATATACAGTCTCTACCTCATATATAGCATTATGATTTTGAAACAGAAACTGATGATTTGTTCAAATAATGTAACAATGCATATGAGCAGCAAAAATCCTTGTAAAGCCAGTGATGAGGAAACCCTAAAGGTTGAGTGTTTGATAAATATCCTAAAATACAGATGCTTCCCTAAACCTATGGAGGTAACTCATCCACAAAAAAAACAAACCAAACCAAAACCAAAACCAACCAAACATTTCCCATGAACAGGGCTTGGTTTCCCCTGCACTAGAAACTTTAACGACCTGGCTATCCACTTCCAGAGTGATTGGCAATGATCAGTTGGCCTGATCCCTTCTCTGGCATCTTTATGAGGCATCTCCCTTTTCTTTTTCACTCAATTTCTCTCCCTTTCTCTGATCCTAGTCCAGGGATAGGCAACCTATGGCACGCGTGCCAAAGGCAGCACGCAAGCTGATTTTCAGTGGCACTCACAGTGCCTGGGTCCTGGCCGGGGGGCCAGGGGGGCTCTGCATTTTAATTTAATTTTAAATGAAGCTTCTTAACATTTTAAAAACCTTACTTACTTTACATACAACAACAGTTTAGTTATATATTATAGACTTATAGAAAGAGACCTTCTAAAAACATTAAAATGTATTACTGGCACGCGAAACCTTAAATCAGAGTGAATAAATGAAGACTCGGCACAGCACTTCTGAAAGGTTGCCGACCCCTGTCCTAGTCCCTCTCAGGTGTTGCTCCCCCTCACTTTTCACCTTAAGACTTCCCTTCTTTTTGCCCCCATTAAAAGTTCCTCCCATTCCTCCCTGCATCTAGCTGATGCCTCTTCCCTTTCTCTTGAAGAGGTAAAACAGACTGTGGGGAAGCTGGCAAGAGAGGAAGTGATCATCATCAGGAGCAGGAGTTCATGCTTGTGGGTTACTCAGCAGCAGAGAGAGCAGCAACCTCTTGTGACCAGAAAAAACACAGCTTGGAATCAAAGGAACTATAATTGGACAGTCCTGTCATATTTAAAAATGGGAGACTGAGGTGAAATCAGAAGAAATACCCCCAAACTGATGGAAATACAATCGTGTGAGATTATGCATTCCCTCCACCCCAACCATTTAAAAGCTGCTTCTATAGAACTTACGAAGTATAAAGGATGTATTTTGCAAGTTGTAAATAAAGTAAACTCAGAACAAAATATAGAAAACACAACATTCAAATCTACTGAATGGATGTTAATTACTTCGAAAACTAAAATAAATAAGATTAATATAACATACTTCACTGCAGTGATAACAACATTACGCTTTGGTTCATTGTCATAGCTCACACTCTCAATGCCATAAATTTGAGCTAACTCATGGATGATTCTGCGGTGATCTCTGTTCATGGGTGGATAACAGTGACTCTTTTTTGAATGCTTGCCCTGAATTTAAGAGAAAAATAAATGGTATGTTTATGATTGTTTTCGTAGACAAGATTACAATACATGATTCATTGTCTAGACTTCCCTAACAGAGACAAAGTCAGTTTGCAAGTACAGTGAGAACTAGATACTGTTGATGAAAACCATGTGCATACTAAATTCCTATTAATTCACATTATATACACAAACACACACACTCTCTACACTGGTTTGCACAGCTACAATTTTTAGATTTTGAAAACGCATGAGGAGACCACGCATAGTTTGACAAAAATCTTTTTTTTTTTTAAAAAAAACCATATTCCATATCCGTGCAGGGCTAGAACAACAAATTGGAAGATAACTGTAGACTTGGCATTATATTGGACAATTTTTATTTATTTTGGTTTTTCAATTTATATGCTGTATATAAAGAGGATTTGCCATATCCCTGTTGGTTATATCCCTTTCACAAAATATAGCAATGTTGGCATCTGATAAAACAATACTGAGTCAATGGGAAATAGGCAAATAAATTAGCTTTTAGTTTAAGGTAAACAAAAAATTACCCAGTTGAACAGACATCTTCTGAAATGTATTTTAGTAACTGTAATTTACAAGTGCAAGTGCCTAATTAGCATATAGATTACACATTGAAAAGTGGTGTGCTAAAAGGTAATGGCTTTACAAGTGATGTAAAAATTCTTGTCTAAATCATTAAGTACTAGCAGAGATACCTGTTTTTCAAATAATGGGCAAAGTATTACGATAAATCTGAGGACACAGCCAAAACACTAGTGCAAATCTAGGCAAAATTAAATTAAATTAACAAAATTAACACAGTATTGCACAACCTAATAATCTAGGAAGCATTCAAATCAAACTGTTCAATCCACAAATTTCCATTTCTATATAAAGATGAGGTAGAGCAATTTCATAGCTAATGAGAATCGAATCCTTGGAAGAGATGTTTAGACAATTATGTTGTAATGCCTGCCAGGGAGAGAACTGTCCAGCAGGTGGCAGTTGAACCAGAGACAAACTTGGCTCTAGGGAGCAAAGAGAAACGTGTCCCAGAGGAGAGCCCAGAAAAGGGGTAGGGAATCTCAGAAACCAGTAAGGTGCGTAAGGATTCCTGTGACTAACACAGGGAAGCATGGTGCTTCCAAGCATGGGAGAGGCTGAGACTAGCTCCTTTCCAGAAGAAGGCAACATGCCCTTGGGCGCAGGAGAGGTGTTGTCAGTGATTAAGGAAACTGTCCCAGTTGTTAGCTGTCAGAATTCTGCAGCTGAACAAGAGACAGAACCCTTCCTAGGGAGCACAGAGAAATGTGTCTTAGGAGGGGGCCCAGAGGAGGAAAGTGGGGAAGGAATAGTGGGGGTACAGGAATGTCTCCTCACTAGTCACTTGGGGCAAGATGCCCAGGACACTAGGAGGATGGCTGGGTCAGCATCTGTGCACCCAGGCACTCAGCCTGTGACCCAGGTTTTGAGAAGGAACTGTGTAACTGACCTCCTGGAGAGGAGCAGTCATACAGCTGACTTCTCAGGGACAGAGAAAGGGGTGGCAGAGGGTACCCCAATCCAGGTCCCAATTTTTCAGGATGCTATTTCTGATAAGTTTTTGGAAAGTAACTGTCTCTCTTTAAATCAAGATGCAGCTCCAATGCCTGTGATAACAGAGGAGTTGGGATCAGGAAATTGCCAGGTGGCAGTTTGCCAAATGACCCAACTGACAGAGAAGGGGGTGTTTCCCCCAGGCTGGTGAGATGCAAAGAGCAGTTATGGGAAAGCTGCTGGGAAAAGGTGAATCTAATCAAAGGGTAAATACACCTAGCCCAGAGGGCACAGATCACCCCTCTAGGGGGCAGGGAAGGACTCGGTGCTGGGAAGGGGAAACACAAGGTAACCCCAAAAAGGGAGCTGGATTTTCTGTATATGTACAGTCCTGGGGTTGGGAGACCGCTCCCCAAAGGGCCAGCCAATGTGCAGGATCCCCCCGAACACCTATCTTGCCAGACCCTGAGGCACCAAAATTCCAGAAACATGATTAAATTAAGAGCCCACACAGAGGGGAACACTGGAGGGAAAGAAAGGCCAATGACTGATTACATGGGAGAGAGTCAAAGGACACCATGGATAATGAACAAACTAACTTCAAACTAGAATATCTGAACAGAGGGCGCGGTATCAAAGATACTCGTAAACGCACATCTGAGACAAAAATTTTGGTCTTAATGTTAAGTTTTGGGGATAAGAATTTTGACACGGATGTTAAACCTTATGATAATGCTACTTTTCAATTAATACCTGTAAACAGGTTTAAAGCTTATTACAGCAAAGAAACCATAAAAAAAACCTTGTTTGCTGCATGTGAATGGGGAAACTGAGGCACGCTGCCTCATGGCCTTAATGGTTGGATGCCAAGAGAACTATAACACAAACTGCCTTTGAGCTAGTCAGTGACTAATCCTCTTGCAGTAAACTAAGAGGGGAGGTGTGATGCTCTGTACCCGGGGGAACACCCAGCACTTCCATGTTCATCATTGTAAAATGATGGTGTGGTATCCAATGCAAAGTTTGTCATGTCGGGTGTCTTTGGAAGGCTCATGATGCACTGAGCATTGTTGTTACAGTAATGTTATAGTAAGGTTATAACTACATACATGAAATTATGAGGCTGAAAATGTATCCTCATGGTTTAAAATAAGCCCAGGCAAAAACTCTCCAAGAACTGAGAGGCAGTTCACACCTCATCAGGGCATGTATGGGACAAACCCAGCCCAGCCTCACAGGAACAAAGGATGCTGGCCTAACAGCAACAAAAGAATCTGTTGGACTCTCGAGGGAGTCATCCCCCCTTCCTTTGGTCAGTTTGGAATTGCGATGAGGTAATGCTCACCTGACTTTGAAGGGGGGCGGGCAAAGCAAAAAGGGAAGAAAGAACATGAAAAAAGGGAGAAACGTTTGCCATGCTCTTCCTCTCTCTTCCAACTACATCTACAGACACCACTACCAAGCGACTGAAGCGCTGATCAAAGGAGAGAGCCTGGCTGCAGAGCAACCACCCAGCCTGTGGTGAGAAGCATCTAAGTTTGTAAGGGCATTGAAGGTGTTAAGATCAGCTTAGAATGCGTTTTGCCTTTTTAGACCAAATCTGACTTATGTTTTGACTTATAATCACTTAAAATCTGTCTTTATAGTTAATAAATCTATTCTACCTGAAGCAGTGCGTTTGGTTTGAAGTGTGACAGAGACTCCCCTTGGGATAACAAGCCTGGTGCATATCAATTTCTTTGTTAAATTGACAAACTCATAAGCTTGCAGCATCCAGTGGGCATAAGTGGACACTGCAAGACGGAGGTTCCTAGGGTTGGGTCTGGGACCGGAGATATTGGCTAGTGTCATTCAGTTGCATAATCCAAGAAGCAGCTTACATGCCAGAGGCTGTGCGTGAACAGCCCAGGAGTGGGAGGTTCTCACAGTAGAGCAGGGTAAGGCTGGCTCCCAGAGTCAAGGATTGGAGTGACCTAACAGATCACTGGTCCAGACAATACCAGAGGGGAACGTCACAGGCAGGTCTAGGTTGGATATTAGAAAAAACTTTTTCACTAGGAGGGTGGTGAAGCACTGGAATGGGTTACCTAGGGAGGTGGTGGAATCTCCATCCTTAGAGGTTTTTAAGGCCCGATTTGACAAAGCCCTAGCTGTGATGATTTAGTTGGGGTTGGTCCTGCTTTGAGCAGGGGGTTGGAGATGACCTCTTGAAGTCTCTTCCAACCTTAATCTTCTATGATTCCATGGCCAGAAGGGACCATTGTAATCATCTAGTCTGATCTTCTTTATAACACAGGCCATAGAACTTCCCCAAAATGATCTCTAGCTGTTAGAAAATAATTCCTAGCTTTTAGAAACACATCCAGTCTAGATTTAAAAATTATCAGTGATGGGGAATCCATCACGAAGCTTGATAAATTGTTTCTTTAAAAAAAATATATATATATGGAGATATACCTATCTTATAGAACTGGAAGGGACCCTGAAAGGTCATTTGAGTCCAGCCCCCTGCCTTCACTAGCAGGATCAAGTACTGATTTTGCCCCAGATCTCTAAGTGGCCCCCTCAAGGATTGAACTCACAACCCTGGGTTTAGCAGGCCAATGCTCAAACCACTGAGCTATCCCTCCCCGCAACCAATGGTTCCAATGGTTACTTACTCTCATTGTTAAGAATTCAAGCCTTAGGGCATGTCTACACTTACCTCTGCAGCGATCGATCCAGCAGGGGGTCGATTTATCGCGTCTAGTGAAGACGTGATCAATCGACTGCCCGGTGCTCCACCGGAGCGAGAGGCGCAGGTGGAGTCGACGGAGGGGCGTCAGCAGTCGACTTATCACAGTGAAGACACCGCGGTAAGTAGATCTAAGTATGTCAACTTAGAAGTAGATCTAAGTTATGAAGTTGCGTGACTCAGATGAAACACCCCCCTCCCCAAGTGTAGACCAGGCCTTATTTTTAGTCTGAATTTGTCTAGCTTCAACCATTTTATCATGTTATATCTTTCTCTGATAGACTGAAGAGCCCATTATTAAATATTTGTTCCTCGGGCGCAATCACTCAAAGAAGAATTTCAGTAACAGCAGATAGGGCATTTTCAGAGAGATTGAACTAAAGGTACTTGTTTGTCTCTGCTACACTATTCATCTTCTTTTGGCATAAAAACAACAAACATTCTGTTAAATAACATTATTTTCCAAATGTCAAGTAAAGGTGAGACAAAATATCACCAAAATGTTTCAGAATTTAGAAAAAAGGCTTTACATACTGAAACAAAGAAATTATTAGATTACTTTAATTAAATTTAGCATTAGGAAATAACATACAGTTCAATATTGCAAATAAGCAACATGAAATATATTTGAATTTTGATAAAAACTTGCTGAAAGAGCAAAATTCAGTCGTAACCATGAAAAACAAAGTCAAAGAGTCTAATACTCATATTTATTGAAATGAAGATATACAATTATCATTACCTGATTATTTCTCTCTCACAAAAATTATATTAAAATTCATGGATTTTTAAAGCCAGAAGCAACCATTATGATAATGTAGTCTGACCTCCTGCATAACACAAGCCAAAGAATCTCACCCAGTGATCCCTGCATCAAGCTCATAACTTCTGCTTGCACTACAGCATCTTTAAAAACATATCCAATCTTTATTTAAAAGACTTCAAGTGATTGAGAATCCACCACATCCCTTGGTAAATTATTCCATGGGTTAATTACCCTCACTGTTAAAAATTTGCACTTTATTTCTAGCTTGAATTTGTCTAAAATTCAATGGTTGAAAGTTGAAGCAATGGTGTCATTAACATTGACTCCAATAAATGCACTATTTCTTTTAAATGAACACGCTATATAAAGCAAATTCTTTAGCCACCAACCTTATTTACAGCTTCCACGAGTGTTCTCATTTCCTTCTCAATATCACTGACAAACTTTAAATCTTTCCTGAAATAATAAAGAATTATAATTCACCTAGTATACAAGATAAGAGATAAATGCAGCATTTACCTACCACATATGTACATTGATAAATGCAATACCATTGAATAAATTAGGAGGAGAGGGTTAGAGTGACCAGCCAATCAGCACAGGGCAGAGAATGTTCAGCCAGAACCGTAGGAAGCTTTCTGTGTTCGGCGATATCTGCTTTGGTTGCTTCTGCTCTTACAGGTTGAAATGTATGGCTGGCTCTTCTCTTCAGAGGGGCACCACCTAGGTCCTATTCCCCCATGGAGGGAGGGAGGGAGGGAGTGTGGTGCGGTTCCCTTGCACAGTTCTGGGTCCAGGTGATACTGGATGTATTCTGGCTCTCTTTAGACACACTCCCCACTGCCTGAGAAACCAGGGAGAGGCCCGCTGAAGGATGTCTCCTTGTTTTAGGCTGTCTGTGACAGAAAGGGGAGCTAAAGTGAATCCTGCTCCCAGGGCTGCTGTAACCACTTAGGGAACTAGGCAGCTGCCTAGGGTGCCAAGATTTGGGGGTGCCAAAAAGCGGTGCCCCCCAATTTTTTTTTACACTACAGTGGAGTCACATCTTACGCGGGGGGTAGGTTCTAAAGTCACCGCGTAAGAGGAAAATTGCGTATAGTGAAAATTACCATAAAGTACAGTATACACAGTATACACTAGAACAGAGTCCTCAACAGAGTCCTAGAACAGAGTCAAAGGTGGCACGCGAGCTGATTTTTTTTTTTTAATGGCAGGCTGCGGGTCCCAGCCACCGCTGAGCCTGCTGCTGACCTGGGTTCCGTTTACTCAGCTGGCAGTGGGCTGAGCAGGGCCGGCTCCTGCCAGCCGGGGTCCCAGCCGCCAGCCCTGCTCAGCCTGCTGGGGTCCCAGCAGGCTCCGCTCAGTCTCCTGCCGGCCTGGGTGAACGGTCTGGGGTTCCGTTCACCGGCCTGGGGTTCCGTTCACCCAGGCCAGCAGGAGGCTGAGCGGAGCCGGCAGCTGGGACCCCGGCTGGCAGCGGGCTGAGGTCCCAGTCGCTGGCCCCGCTCAGCCCGCTGCCAGTCTGGGATTCCGGCTGCCAGCCCCTTGCCAGTCAGGGTCCCAGCCACTGGCCCCGCTCAGCCTCCTGCTGGGCTGGGGTTCCGTTCACCCAGGCCGCCAGGAGGCTGAGCGGATCCGGCAGCCGGGACCCCGTCTGGCAGTGGGCTGAGCAGACTGAACGGGGCTGGCAGCTGGGACCCTAGCTGGCAGGAGCCGGCAGATGGAACCCCAGACCGGCAGCGGGCTGAGCAGCTCAGCCCGCTGCTGGTCTGGGGTCCTGGCCGCCGGCCCTGCTCAGCCTGCTGACGATCTGGGGTTCCGGTCGCTGGCCCTTTGCCAGCCAGGGCCTCTGCTACCGGCCCCGCTCAGTCTCCTGCCAGCCTAGGGAGTCAAGGGCATATTGCAGGCTTGAGCACATAGTAACCAATATATCTTCTAAGAATAAGAATTTCGATAAGTAATTTTCTTTTTTCCAAGGAAACTCTGGGGTGTCTATGGAATTATTATTTTAAGTAGGAAGACCAGCAATGGTGTCTACAAATCTCAAACAGTGTGACATCAAATAGTAAGTAATAGTCAGACATGAAACTATAAAAATGTTCTCTCCATCCAAAATTATGTACATAAAAGGCTAGAGAATGGGAATATTCTAACATAAAAAGGGGGTTGGGACGCCAAAATACCACTGATAGGCCAAACTTGGATTCTTGATATGACAGTGAGTCCAAGCTATAGTTCCTTAAAAGCAAAATAGAAAACAATGCACGTCCCATGCTAATCTCATGAAAAGGAATTGATCTGAGGGGTCCAGTTGGCAGAGTAAGTACTTTTTGATCTGCAAAAGGTATACCTAGTATTCAAGGGGAGATTCAATAAAGCAGATCAGTTATTTGGTATTTGATTTGGGGGTTTAAAACTGGGAATACAAATGGAATGAATACAGAAGGAGGTTATGGGAGACAGGAGGGAATTTGGGTGGCAGTGGGGGATTGATATTTTTCTTTATGAAAATTTACAAGCAGATGTTTGTGTCATATGTACAAATACAGTTATGAAAACAATACAATACACTCAATAATAGGACATTTGCCATACAATCAGATAACCTCTTCATAGAGGATCCTGGGCATTAGAAGCTTGATCCAAAGCTCACTCAAGTGAATGGAAAGACTTCCATTGATCTCAACAGGTCAGGGAAAAAAGTTAGTTGGTCTGATCATTTTAGTGATAATCTATTCAAGATCAGACCTAAGGTGTATATAATGTGTATGTAACCCCTCCGCCTCCCCACATATTTACATTTTGGATATGGTCAAATTATTACCAGTTTTTGATATCTTTGAATGTTAAAGGATTGAACTAATGTAATAAGAAAAAAAAGCACTCTTGGAACTAAAAAACTCACACACATTATATTACTTCAAGAACTAATTTTCAGAAAGGGCATATTGTGAGCATGTGGGGTAATTCACAAAATTCCAAGAGAAAATAGGCAAGGAAACAAGGGCAGCACTAACCTATCTATCCTAATAACTTAATAGTTAGGCTGCTGAAGAGAATTGAACCCAGAGAAGCAAGATTATACATTTTATTCACATGTACATCATTTATATTTTATATCTACAAAAAAAATCACCATTTAAATCAGAGAAGGTTAACTTCAATAAATCAGGATCTCAACAAGAATGTGCATCTTTGCTTCTGAAAGAAATATTTTATCTTTTATTAAAAAAAAAAAGGTGGAAAAATTAGTCACGACAATAGGACCAACTGACTTGGCCTACCTCCAAGACCAACATATTTAAAGGTCTATGTGTTATTGGCTATTGTCTAAAATCATTTAAACAGTATTATGTTAGGGGGAACTTGATGAATGTTAGAAATTTGTTTAAGAACTGAACTTTTGCTATATTTCAGATTGTGTCAAAACTGCTCAAAGTTACCTTGATTTTGAGTTAAGACTGTTTGGGGGAAAAGAGCTACTGGAAAACTCCATCTGGGAACTCTCAACAATCATATTCACCTTCCTCTGAACCAAAAAGACAATTTAGTCTCTTTTCCTTTCTCCTATCTTCTGTCTGTTTGATAGGGGGAATTGTCTTGAAAAACAGTTTTGTAAGTAAGATGAGGACGTTTTACTTGCAACTTCTTATTTCAAATGGAGATTAAGAAACAAAGCTGGTTTTGTAAACTTCCATTTTTTCTGCATGCTTAGGTTAATTAACTGCTGAAAAACTTCATTAATTCATCAGTGTTAACAATGAAAAGCTAAACAGAATTTCACACTATAACTTTGTTAATGTGTAAATTTTCTATACACACAGTCCAAAATTTTCAAAAAGAGGGACCTAAATTTAGGCTCCTAATCCCATATTTGAAGTATCAGAGAGATTTTCAAAAGCATTTATGTGACTTATGAACCCAAATCTAAATGATTTGAAGGTGCAAACCCTGATGAATGGCTGTAGCCTAGTTGAAGCATTCTTGACTTGTGAAAGTTCAATATATTGGAAGGGCTATTGATTGGAAATATGGCAGGTGCTATTGCTTATCAGTTTTGTCTCTCTTTTGTATTGTTCTCACAATAAGGGTGTTAATGAGGCCCTGGACGTGTCTTTTTTAGCACAGATGAGCATTTTAACTATGAAAGTTTTTAGCAGAAAAAATTCTTATGTAAAATCTGAAATTCTATGAACAATTAGAAAACTAAAGAAACAAGTATAAAACACAATTTAAGACTATAAAATGGGTAAAAAACTACTAATGTAAATAAATATTTGATTTTTTAAAAGTAAATTAAAATTTAAAAAATCATTTAAAAATATTTTTTGTAAAATATCACTTGAATCCACAGAGTTATTGAAATAGGGCAATGTTAAGGTTGTGTGTGGGTGTAGTGTGGGAGACATTACCTTTACTCTCATTCCTGGTTTTCAGAAGTTTAGCAACCCTTTACATGCTGGAAGGGTACAAGGCAGTGCTAGGTAACCTCAACACTGCATTCACAAAGTTTTTTTGCAAGTGATTTTCCCATTAAAAAAAAATAGTGATAGTGAGGGACACAATCAAGGGGCAGCTGCGGGGAAAGGAAGGGTGGCATAGAATGGGGATCCCTGAAAACACCTCTGCTCCATTCAGCTATCAACTCTGCCCTCTTCCTGGCCCTTTCATGCTCCTGCTAGGAACGTAACAGTAGAGAGGCTAGGAGGAGTGAACTGGAGGCAATAAGGGGAAGGAGAACTGGAGCTTCACAGTTCCTACCCAAATCTGGATCTAGAGTCTGGGGCTCTTTTTGGAGGGAAGCAGCACATTCATCTCAGATGAATCAGAACACTCCATGTGGATTAATTCAGCTTGAAACAATAGCTCTGAGAGGTGAGAACTGTCCCATTCATCTTGATTTAGTTGGGGTTGGTCCTGCTTTGAGCAGGGGGTTGGACTAGATGACCGCCTGAGGTCCCTTCCAACCCTAATCTTCTATGATTCTATGATTTCAATGATTGACCTCACTCCTCCCCCACTCTCAGCACTGTGGCTGTGGCAGGTAGTGAGTGATGCCCAGTCTAAGTTCCCTGCCCCAGTCACAGCAAGGGCACTTGTGGCATGTATGGAGCATGTCCACTGTCAGCTCCCCACCCCATAGCAGTGACCTCAAAGGGAGGCAAGCTAACTTATTCATGTGCTTTTGTCAGTTCTACTAGGTGCCTGTTTGTATATCTGAATAATGGATTTTAAAGCACTTTCAAGCATTGTCTCTTAAGTTTGAGCAAAGCTCCCATGTTAACTGTGGTATGACAAGGGCCACCCCATAACAAATTACAAGGGTTAACTTAATAAATATACATAGTCATGTCAGACTATTTAATAAAACCTTAAGACACAGTGACAGCTATGGGGTACAAAAGTAACAATGTTGTAACCATGTATTCCAACATATACCTTGCATCTTCTTTTAAATTATCACTGTACTTTGATCCAGAAGAACGGATATTAAAAGGATCAGAATTATCACGGATATGGAGAGCTTCAGCAAAGCGTCTGCAATTCAGAAAACAAAATTTTTATTTTAAAGATGGCTTTTCAATGGCAAACTGATCCACTACAGAGAGGGACCAGTGCTACAGATAAACAGCTTTTTGCAGAAAACTCCCTAATTGATATACAGTAACTCCTCACTTAATGTTGTAGTTATGTTCCTGAAAAATGCGACTTTAAGCGAAACGATGTTAAGCGAATCCAATTTCCCCATAAGAATTAATGTAAATGAGGGGGTTAGGTTCCAGGGAAATTTTTTTCACCAGACAAAAGACTATATATAATACACACATTAAAACTTATACTGTGTGTAACAAACAATTTAATACTGGTACACAGTGATGATGATTGTGAAGCTTGGTTGAGGTGGAGGAGTCAGAGGGTGGGATATTTCCCTTACTGCTAAATGATGAACTAGCAAGTGGCTGAGCCATCAAGGGTTAACTCTCTCACTCTGCAAGACAGCAGGGATGGAGAGAGATATGCGCATTTCCCTTAAGTACACTGCCTTGTTAATCAGCGTGCTGAGACTGCTGCTGCTGCAAGCTCCCTCATCCTGAGCCCTGCTCTATGGAAGATGGGGTAAATGGGGTGCAGGAGTAGGGGGGAGGGGGACACCCTGACATTAGCCCTCCTCTTCCTTCCCTCCCCCCCCGGCACAGCAAGCAGGAGTCTCAGGGAGCAGCTCCAAGGCAGAGGGCAGGAGCAGCACATGGCAGTGGGGGGAGGGACACAGCTGAACTGCAGGCAGCTGCTGCACAGGGAACTTAGGGGAGCGGGGAGCTGATAGGGGACTGCCAGTCCACCCTGATTCCAAGCCCCCACCAGCTAGCTGCAACAGGCTGCTCTTCCTGCAAGAAGTAGACAAAGCAGGCAGCTGCCAAACGACGTTAGAAGGGAGCATTACACAACTTTAAACGAGCATGTTCCTTAATTGATCAGCAACGTAACAACAAAACAACATTAACTGGGACGACTTTAAGTGAAGAGTTACTGTATTTGGAGCTATTTCATTAAATTAGAAATAATCTGAGAAGACTTTTGATGGGAAAGGCATAAGATTTTAGAACAGGTTTCTAAAATTAATAGTTTATTGATCATCTAGTACAGAATGCTAAGGAGATGATCTTGACATTTTATCAGTTCTCTCCTTCACATGGAAAAATGATCTTTTCCATACAGCTTAGATACATCAAGTTAATACTTTTGTGAAAAAGTATACCAACCCACCTGTTCCTTTCAAGGGCGAAACACTCTTCATTACACTGCAACCTGGATTATCAAAGAAAAAAAATATAACACTAAAACACCTCTGCGTGCTTTTACGTCTCAAATATAATGACCCAATAAAATCAAAATTAAAATTATGGCAAGATTATTTGGTTACATTCACACACACACACTCTCTCTCTCTCTCTCTATATATATGCTAAAAGAAGATTAAGGTTGCAAAGCTAACGGGCTCAAAATCTAAGAAATGCTAGAATTAAAGTGGACTATGGAATCTTCATTCAGCCCCCTTGTGTGAATTTATTAAGGGCATGCTTCTGCAAAGCCTATGACAGAGTCCTATCCAATACCACATAGGAAGTCTGTGACTGAGCTAGGAATAGAGCGCAGCTATTGTGCATCTCAAAAGGCTGAGCTATTTACATTCAACCTAAAGATTACCTTGGATTCAGTTCAGGGGTAACTGTGAAATTCTATGGTCTATGACATATAGGAGATCAGACTAAAGAACAGTATTGTGTCTCTCTGCAAAACTAAACTGGTCAATCTCATATGTAAGAGCAGACAAAGTGAGAATATGACTAACATTGGTGAACAGATGGCCTTGCTGCGCTGCAGAGTCCAGATGTGAGGTGGCGAAGTTTCTCAGTCCTCTGCTGATGTTGTCAAGGTTTGGTGGCTTCAACATTCACAAAGATAATGAGCTTCATGAATCAGCTCATGATTTGATAGTCACCAATGGCCTCTGGCAGGTGGTTACTGGTTTAAATGGTCGTTGCCCTTAATCTAGTATTTGGGTTGGGACTATGGATGAGGAAATTAGCTATTCTATCCCTATTACCTCCGAAGGTTTAGGCCTGGGACTTTGTTTTGATGATCCATCCTCTGAAACTGATGGATCCAGACCACACTATCAATGGCTTCTTCCTCACAGGTCGCATTGAAGGTCTACAGAAGGTCTGTGACTGATGAAGCAAGAAGAGGAAGATGAATTCTGGTTGCAGATGTCTTAGCTTGTCTCTGAACCCTCTTCAATGTATCAACATCATTCTTGAACTGTAGACATCAGAACTGGATACAGTACTCCAGCAGCAGTCACACCAATGTCAAATATAGAGGTAAAATAACCTCTCTACTCCTACTCAAGATTCCCCAGTTTATTCATCCCAGGATTGCATTAAATTTTTTGGCCACAGCATCACACTGGGAGCTCACATTCAGCTGATTATCCACCATAACCCCCAAATCTTTTTCAAGAGTCACTGCTTCCCAGGATAGAGTTCCCCATCCTGTAAGTATGCCATACACTCTTCATTGCTAGATATACATACACTCATTTAGCCATATGAAAATCCATATTGTTTGCTTGTACTCAGTTTATCAAGCAAATCCAGATTGTTCAGTGACTTTTCCTCTTCATTATTTATCACTCCCAACCAAACCAACCCTGATATATTGGGGTTTACAATAGAGGTCACTGCTCAGTGTGATCAATTTGTTGAAAGAGGTAATTGATTCTATAATTGACAATTATTACTTGTGCAGCCATGTAGTTCCAGAGTTCTTCAAGGTACCAACAAAGTCGCATCATGTCTTACTTGCACAAACCAATGGAAGGGACCTTTCTTTGACACCCCCATTCTTTCCATCTGTTTTGTTTTTGATTCACATACACATTTGCAGTTCCACGTTTCAATACATTGCCTTTTCACAAACAGTTTACTTGGCAGTATCTGAGAGATGCCAACTTTAGCAGCAGCTTCCTGATAATTACTCTTTTGATTACAGTATCCAACAATGCTGATAACAGCAACAGGAGAAAAGTGTCTGCTTCCTCAACAGCAGTGACCCAAAGCAGGCAATGGCACTCTAACAGACAAGCAGCAGTGCTGCAAGCTTCCTCAGGAGCAGTGTCTGGCCCAAAGAAGGCACTGTCTCTATAATAAGCAGACTCCCTCAATCCTCTCAGCAGGAGAAAGAGGCTCAGTGGCCTATCATGCAAAAGACTTGTTACAATATCTAACTTTTCCTTTCTTCCACATAAAAGAAGAATGAGATGGATTTTTTCAATAAAGACCATTATGCTTCAAAGATTTCTATGGTTAATTTCCAAGAAGTCAATTAGGGCACCCCCCAAAGCTCATTCGTAGACCATCAATGGTCTGCAGATTACGGGTTGAGAATCACTGCCCTAATAAACTAGACAAAAGTTAACTATATGCAAATGTGGGAATAACCCAAACCAGAGATTTCTTCAGTTCTGAGAGGACACATTTGCAGTAAGATCAAGTTGTTTGTTCTCACATACAGAAAAAATTCTATTTTGGAGACTGATGAGAATTAGCAAGCAGTCCATCCAAGAAAGAAAAAAGAAAAGAAAAAAAAAAAGACAACGTTGGGGAGGGAAAAGAAAGAAGGAAATGAGATTTCAAGGGAGAATAGCAGATTGGAGGATGCAGTGACCAAGTGAAGCATCTGAAGAAGCCGTTACATATACTTTGTATTGATTTGTATATGTAGAGATTACCAGCTGGTTTGTGTCCAAAAAGCAGAGAGATCTTGTAAAATATTCTTAGACTAGACACTATCTACCTTTTGTATAAACAGACTAATCTGGAGAGGGTTGTCCCAGTACTTTGAGTGTGTTCTTTCCAGGAGAGAAGACAAATAAAACATCTGATTTTCTAAAAGATTTAGTCCTGTCCAGGTACAATTTGACTGCTCTTTAAACATTCAAATGGTGCAATCTGATCTCTTGAAGATGAAAAAGTTTAGGATAAAATGTGAGAATGTGGTCCTGATGAGGAGTTTTTCTTGGACTGTAGATTATTTAATACCTTATGCTTCTGCTATTGGAGTCGGAATATCTTGAAACTATTTGAAATATTCTAAGGGAGAAACTGGAGTACTCTATCATGATGTCCTTGGGAGAAGAGAAGGAATTCTGAGGATTCTGGCCTACAGACACTGCTCCAGCTTGTTATCCAAACAGGAAGATTCTGTGTCCCCTACCTGAGGTGCTGATGAAACCATGACTGATGTTATTCTTGATACCACAGGAGCTGAACTTACTATGGTTTATTTATGAACTGTAGGTGCTGGGGGTATAATTGCTCTAGGGTTCTTTCAGTGATTGTGGTTAAGAAATTTTGAGTTCACAGAAGTGGCATTGATTGAGGCGCCATAACAGGGTAGTTAGTCCATAAGGGTAAGGTAGGGGAAAAGCTCTTAAAGTGGGTAAGGGTAAGGAGATGAAAAACACATCAAATAGCTGGATCCAGAGGGAGGAACCAAGTGGGTTTTTTGTTCCAAAGTTGAGATGCTTTGGAATAGGAGTCAGAGGTATGTAGAACCCGCACATTTGGTGTTGTATGTGAATTTTCAGAACTAATGAAACTATAGGCTTTGGTTTTGGAGTGATAGAAAGCCTTTGACTTGAGTGAACTGAAATTTCCTCCTGTGAAATGAAGGACTCATTTGGATCATCACTAATCAATCAAGACTGGTGGTTCCAGGTAAAGAACTGAACTGAGAACCTATGCTGTGGTAAGAGATTGAGGCAAACCCTGCAACACTCGGGAGTTCAATAAATGCACCAAAGTACACTTCCATACTGGGGAATGCTTTCCATTGCAAAACCAGAGGCAACAATGTGAGCACCAGCTTGTGTCTTGGTGCCAGCAATAGCAACTTGCTCTATGGCACTGGGGCCCCTTGTGTTTCCAAGATATTTACAGTTCCAGCCTTGTTGGAATCATAACAAGGAGCCTTTACTATCTCTCTGACTTCCTCAAAAGAGGAGCGCCTCAGAAGTGAGACTGTCAAAATCCAGACAAATCTGCAGTAAAAATCTGCTCACTGTGTACAGAAACAGCAGACAGGCTGCCTCCCTGTGGCTCAGCAGGCAGCACAGCTGAGAAACAATGTATGCAATCCCTACATGCTGGCCAGATATGTAAGAATACAAATAAGCTGTGCTGAGGGGGCATGTGAGGGGTGTAAATTGCCTGACACTTGGTAGCCCTGGGCTTCAAAAAAATTCTGACTTTTTTTTTGGCTCTTAGGCTTGTTTTTTAATGACTGTTAATGACAAACCCAATTTTGAGATGACCACAAAGTTATCTGACTGGGTTAAAAAAAAACGAACACAGGAAATGTTAAATATGTAATTTTCAGGAGCTCTCTGAAGCCATGGCTGCAGAGGCACACATCCTTGTTCCATATCTGAAATACAATTCGGACAGCAGCATGCCTGCATTCAATACAGTAGGGAAATCATTCTAAATAACAAAAAAAAAAAAAAAAAAAACAACACAACCAAAACCCCACAAACAAAGATTTGAAGATTCTTATGGAAACTGAATGAGAATCCTAAAATATCAGTATTGTTAATACAGACAGGCTGTTACCCACAACGCCGCACACTTTTTCAGCAACATACACATTTCAGTTCAACATTTATAGATTGCTAGAACCCCTCCCATACTTGATTCTTCATGATTACCTTGTTTGCTTCATTTCTTTTTTGGTAATCAGCCTACTGATTTCCACTGAGTCTCCAAGTTGCAGGTCTGTTAGTTTAGTGGCTATGGATATAGCAGCTATTCTGGAAGAAAAAAAACCCATTAGATTTTACTTAATTCATATGCAAAAAGATCACTTGGCAAATAGCATGGAACTACAGACTAGTAGTCCAGGTGAGACACCAGAGAAATAAATAAGTTGAAGGAGCCTGCCATTATACTCCATACCACTACTTTAAGGTTATGGAGCGTGGAAAAGGAAAAGACTTTTTAAACTGTGTGGCCAGCTGGGATAGTAGGTGACATACACCAGCATAAGAGTTAGAGGCATTTGTGGGAGCGGGAAGTGGTGGCTGACATGCAAGACTCTAAGGGCTTGGCTACACTCTGGAATTCACGCTGTGAAGCGCGAATGTAGTCGCGCCGCCAGTGCTGCGAGAGAGCTCTCACAGAACTGTACGTACTCCATCTCTCCAAGGGGAGTAGCTTGCAGCGATGCGAGCGAGCATGCAGTGCTGCAGGCTCTGATTGCACTGGCGCGTTACAGAGCTGCACTCGGGGGTGGGGGGACATTTTCACACCCGAGCGCAGCAAGTTGCAGCGCTGTACAGCGCCAGTATAGCCAAGGCCTAAGCTACACAAGAACAGGACTCCACTCCTAACTACCCTTTATAGAGAAAACACCAAGAGAGAGAGATGCAAAGAAGGAATGCAAAGCTGCATGCAGAAAAGCTGAGGAATGAAAGATGTCAGGGAAATTATCATTTTTGTAGATTTTACACAAAACACATTTATGTTGCATCTTGGTAAAAATGTAATGTGTCAATTCGCAAGGTTGCATAATTACATTCTAAAGCTAAGTTGGATGAAGCCTGGCTTATGCTCTGATTGAAGATATCAAAGGAAACCCGTGTGTTCAGAAAGTGGTGTGGGAAACGCGGCAGATGACATGCTATTGAATACATGCTACTGGAGATGTCAACTTCAAAATGTGATGTAAAACTAAGGCCAGGTCTACACTACCCCCCAATTCGAACTAAGGTACGCAACTACGTTATTCACGTAGCTGAAGTTCGAAGTACCTTAGTTCGAACTTACCTTGGTCCACACTCGGCAGGCAGGCTCCCCCGTCGACTCCGCGGTACTCCTCTCGCCGAGCTGGAGTACCGCAGTCGACGGCGAGCACTTCCGGGTTCGACTTATCGCGTCCAGACTAGACGGGATAAGTCGAACCCAGAAGTTCGATTGCCAGCCGCCGAACTAGCGGGTAAGTGTAGCCAAGGCCTTTGACTCTTACCAGAGTCACTAAAATACCCCATGGCATTTTTCAGAAGAGTAAAGAAGTTAACCCACTTTCCTGGTCAAATGTCAGTATCTGCCTAACTAATATCATTTGTGAAAAAAATTCTTCATATCCCTGTTAAAAAAAAAAGTAAAACAGCTGTCACATTTCAACCCTCATATAACTGTATTTTAATTGTGGATAACGAACCCTGAAAATACAGCCTATAACACACTTTGGAAACATTTTAGGAAGAAAAGCATTACACAAACTGTAATGAAACAGTAGCAACTCTATAGGTAAAAGACCACCTATATCTAACTTTCTGTGAAGAAAAAAAACAACGATGATTTTCTTCCTGAAATTTCTCATGTTTATAGTGAATCATAAAAGGTGAATTTCTGAAGAAAATTTGAAGTTAATATGGCATGCCAATTTTGAAATAAATCTGAAAAGGAAGAATTCTGTCTTACTTGAGAATTTTCTCTCTTGCCACTCTTCACGTCAGACAGTCCCCACAGTGGAGCGCCACTGTCAAACTATCTGAGATGGAGGATCCTAGAAAGAAAATACTCAGGTAAGAGAATTTTCCCTTCTTCATTTCTTTCATATGCCAGTCTTCACAGAGGCATGCAGAAAGCAGTTGATCATCCTTAGGGAGGGAGGGGAGGATACAACTCAACTATGTAAAAAATTAAGACACTGGGAGGCACCATGTTCCATAACAGACTTCTACTAAATGCATCAGCAGAGGAAAGGATGTTGATTATACTATTTTGAGAAAGTGTGGATGGAAGACCATATAATGGCTTTTACAGACCTCCTCACCCATGAAATTGCTGCTCCTTCCACAGAGTAAGCAGTATTGGAAGGAGCTGTGAATGCCTTGTGTATACGCAAACACCTTTACCCCATTGACAGCCTTTTCACATCCAACTTACGCTCTTCCATTACCTTAGAACAGGTGTAGTCAATTTTTTGTCAATGTCCAAATTTCTTGGTCAATGTCCAGACTACACAGAAAATTTAACCCCCCACCCAACAATGATAAATAAATGAAAAGATTTTGGGGTCTGTTCAAGAGTGTCTGGTGGTCCGAATTTGGCATGCAGTCCGCCTATTGACTACTCTTGCCTTAGAATGTTTTAATTCAACCAGAGTGACAACACTACTTTCTATTATAGGAAGAAGACGATGGTGACCTTGGAAATGAAGTCTTGGTCAGTTCAAAGAACTGTACGGGGAGATGTCAGCAAACCAGTAAAGTGCCTAAAACCACTATGGCTTATTGTTAAAAGCAGCCAAGTCAGCAGGCTGTAAATTAGCCATACCGCAGCCTCATCTTGACCAAGGCAGGAGGGGAGGGGATTTTGGGTGCCACAGAAAGGGCAGCTTGACCCCGCATCCTTCCTGATAAGAATTGTGTTGAAGTTGCTGATACATGCATTTTAGAAAAGCAGAATGTGCCCCCAGGAATGTCTATTAGGGCCTCCAGGCTGCAAACTCTGGAAAAACCCACACCTGGTTAATCAATAATCAGAAGGAACCTCTGCTTGACCATTGAAACTGCTTGCTAGACAAGTTTTCTTTAAGAGACATGTAATTCTATTACTAATGTATAAGTAAGGGGAAAAAGTTTGAAGTAGTTGGATTCTTCTGGACTCTCCCTCTGGATACATCTTGTGGTTCCCACCGGCAGATGGAAGATTTGGCCACGGGAAGCCTGCCGCTGTGCCACTCGAGAGCCACACTCAGCTTTAGTAATTATCAAGGGTTGGGGGTGTTTTACTAACCTGTTGCGGACGTGTGTAAGTGCTTGAGACTAAGCAAAGTTTAGCTTTACGTGAAAGCACTCGTGTTGTCCTGTTTGTGCCAGCCACCTCAAGAAAATGGGTAGAAGATCAGAAAAAGGATATTCTATAGAATTCACTCACTGAATCCAGAACAAGTTTATTCTTTCTCTAAAGTTAAAATAAACTAATACAATACTGTCAGCACCAAAATCCTTTGACACATCAGAAGATGAAGGATGAAATAGTCTATCTCCTACACATCACAACAATAAAGCCAGTTCTGTAGGTAGAGATTTTGGAAAGTGCATAAGATTCTTTATGGAACAAAGAGAAAAGATCACATGATGGCCATTCTAAAACTCAAAAAGTATATCAAGGGATTAATATTCCAGATGGAAATAGTGAAATCCATCATTACTGCATTGCTCTCTCAGGACTTCAGAATGTGAAGATAAACCTCCTGGAGATCTACTGAAGATATAATCAAGAAGAGTCTCCATAGATACTTCAGCTTCTGCTACAGCAGGAAACTTTTTCAATACAAAGACTCAGCTTTTTGTACAGGTATTTCACAAATATCATGTTATCCATCCCTTTAAGTAAAAGGGACACGTGATTACCCTCGTCTGGATGGCCTTCTTCTAAGGTCCTATTCACAGGTCAGTACTACGCATGGTCTAGCAGCTCTGCTAAATACCTTCAGGAACATGACCTTGAGCAAACTAGAAACAGCAAGCAAATTTACTGCCCTCACAAAGCTGCATTACCTACAGTATGCGCTGGTCATTGTCCAAGACAAAATCTTTACTTCAGAAGAGAGAGTAGCGAATATAGTTGTCACGGATTTGTCAAACAATAGCACACTTCTCCTACGGTAAATTTCTTTACTCCTGGGCTAGTTATGTCTTGCTTCACTTCCAGCCTGCAACTGCAGCAAATCAGTATATAAAGACCTCTGTCCAGAGTTAATGGTAGTATCCCTTGGCGAATTCATGCTTAATATTATTCTGGAACCCACCATCAGGTAGCTTCGGAAAAGCTAGTCACTACAATGGATACCAGATTTGAGAGACGTAGATATACAGCTTTAAGTTAAAGCAGTATAACAATATTCATTTAAGAGTTCATACATTTATTATAGGTGAGCTGGTAGTGACACCTATAGTTAAGGCTACACCCATCACTTACCATTATAAGACCTTGGATTCAACTGCTTATAAACTTTGTCAAACTTTAACCATTTGGGCTGAAATTTTCCACAGTGGGTATGTAACCCATGTTTTTTTTTTTTTTTTTTTTTAATTTCAGCCAAAACTGTTCAATCATTTCTTAGAATCAGGTTAGGGAAAAATGTTTTGTCCATGTTAAAAAATTCATACAACTGTTTAGTTGAGCAATCCTAATGCCTCCATCTATTGGAGCATGGAATTGAAATTTGGCAGAGAGTTTTGCCTTGGTGCCCAAGATGTGCCTTTTGCTTTCACCACGAAAATCCACCCATAGTTCACCAAGTTATAAGCATTTGAAAATGGCACTTTGCATATGCTCAGTAGAGTCTTCCCAGGGTTTGACAGCTATATTTTCTAAAGATTGCATCTACCATGAGCATGCTCCAGCCCAAGGCTACAAAGCTGAGCAGGACTTTCCATGAACTTGCTCCTCGCAGATGCCAGATGTTGCTGTGCCTCTGGACACAGGAACTGAGAGCAGGGAGACTGTCACTCCTGTATTCTCAATAGTCCAGGCAAATTAGAAGCGAAGCAGAAAAACAGTTACCTACCTTTCGTAACTATTGTTCTTTGAGATGTGTTACTCATGTCCATTCCAATTAGGTGTGTGTGTGCTGTGTGCACAGAAGCCAGGTGGTTTTTCCCCTAGCGGTACCCATCAGGTCGGTTCAGGTGCTCCCTGGAGTCATGCCTCCATGGCGCCGTATATGGGTCCTTCAGTTCCTTCTTGCTGGCATTGCTCCGACAGAGGGGTAGGCGGGTGGGTCTTGGAATGGACA